AAAGACACAATCAAACACATCCTTAAACCGAATAACTCCTTCGTAGAAACCGAAAAAACAGTTGCTGACTGTATAGCATCAACTCTTTCCGGAAATTCCTCTACCCACAATTACAACCCTGAATTCAAAAAAGTAAAAATGTCTTCTGAAAAGACAACTGTTGATTTTACCTCTTCAAATGAAGAACACTATAATTGCAGCTTTTCTCTTAACGAATTAAAATGTAATATTGCAGAACTATCAAACACAGCTCCAGGCCCTGATCAAATACACAACGAAATCATCAAACGTCTTCCAGACGAAACACTCCTATTACTCCTTGATATTTACAATGAACTCTGGCATTCTCAACAATTTCCGAACAGTTGGCGTCTTGCCACTGTTATACCAATCCCAAAACCAGGAAAAGATCACTCTAACCCTTCAAACTACCGTCCCATAGCCCTTACAAACTGTTTCTGTAAACTTATGGAAAAACTTATTAACAAACGTCTAATGTGGTTTCTCGAAACCTCAAACTCCTTATCCAATTTTCAATGCGGTTTTCGCAAAAATCGCTCTACTATTGACCATCTCGTCCGACTTGAAACTTTCATTCAGGAAGCTTTCATTCGAAAAGAGCACCTTGTGGCTATTTTTTTCGACTTAGAAAAAGCATTCGACACCACATGGAAACATGGTATTCTGAAAGACCTGCATGACTTGGGCTTACGCGGAAATCTTCCAGAATTTATACGAAACTTTTTGAAAGATCGATCATTTCAAGTAAAATAGGTTCAACATTATCAAATTTACACACCCAAGAAGAAGGCGTCCCCCAGGGAAGCATCTTATCGCCCATTCTTTTCGAAATCAAAATCAATTCCATCACAAAAACCCTTCAAAACAATATTGACTGCTCACTTTACGTTGACGACTTCCTGATCTGCTATAAATCCAAATCCAAAATGGATCACATTGAACGTCAGCTTCAGCTTCAACTCCATAAACTGGAAACTTGGGCAAACGGGCACGGGTTCAAATTTTCCACAGTAAAAACAAACTGTGTGCATTTTTGTCTGTCGCACAAGTGTGTGCGACAACCAGATTTATATTTGTTTGGAGAGAAAATTCCTGTTCAAAAACAAGCTCGTTTCCTGGGCTTAATCTTCGACAATAAACTTTCTTTCCTACCACACTTGAAAGACCTAAAGACAAGGTGCCAGAGTGCTCTCAACGCCTTAAAAGTATTATCCAATCATGAATGGGGAGGAGATACTGAAATACTCCTTCAACTTTACCGTTCTCTTGTCCGTTCCAGGCTGGACTATGCCAGTCCTGTTTACGGATCAGCCAGAAAGTCTTACCTTAAAATTTTAGACCCTGTTCAGAACCAAGGCCTTCGCCTTGCCCTAGGCGCTTTCCGTACTTCACCTGTAGAAAGTTTACAGGCAGAAGCGCATGAACCATCTTTGGAACTTAGAAGGAAAAAACTCTCTTCGCAGTACGCTTTGAAACTTAGCTCAGTACCCCAAAACCCAGCCCACAAATGTGTCTTTGGCCTTCCGGAAGACCTAAAATCTCTCTCCTCCTTAGGAAATAAAGTAAGCCCTTTCGGAATAAGAATCCAGAACGATCTCAAAGACATTGATTTTTCTGAAGACATAATCGAGCCCTTTGCCATGTCCAGCATACCTCCATGGCATTTAACCAAACCAAACATAGATACTAGTCTTGAAAAACACAACAAAAAGTCCACAGACAAAACTACATACTTAAACTCATACAAACAGCTGATAAATAGATAGATACCCTGAAGCAGAGAAACTCTTTACAGACGGATCCAAAAATGACTCCACAGTAGGAGCTGCTGCCCTTGCATCGCCACACAGCTTAAGCTTAAGGAAACTCCATCCAGAAGCTTCAGTCTACACTGCTGAGGCTACAGCTCTTGAAATGGCCCTAAATATTATAGATCAATCAACCAAGTCTACCTTCCTAATCCTTTCAGACTCTCTCTCTTGTCTGAAATCTTTAGAACGCTCTGACACCTCCGACAACAGAATTTTGAAACTTATCATTAAACTGCATTTTCTACATCAGTCTGGAAAAACTATTACAATAGCTTGGCTTCCAAGCCATGTAGGCATTGATGGCAACGAAGCCGTTGACCAATTTGCCAAAGAATCTCTAAAACTACCTGAAAACAAAAATAGTAAAATCCCTTTCTCTGACATGAAACCGAAAGTAAAAGAACACATCACATCCTCCTGGTCCCAAAGTTGGAATCAACAAATACACAACAAACTCCATTACATTCAACCGAAACTTACACCCAGGAAACCATTTTCTCTACCACGAAGAGAAAAAGTAATTTTTACCCGACTTAAAATAGGACACACGCACGTCACGCACAAACATTTGCTCGAGGGAGAGGAAGCTCCTTTTTGCGTGGCGTGCAACACAAATTTCACAGTTCGGCACATCCTAATGGAATGTGTCGACTTTAATTATGTCCGTGATAAATATTTTAAATGTAAAGATATTAAGACCCTTTTTAACATCATAGAACCTAGAAAAATTTTAAGTTTTATCAAAGAAATTGGACTGTTTAATCAAATGTGAAAATATATAGTTGTCGTTGTCGGTGTATATATACATACGGTGTATATATACATGCACTGAAATTTTTATTGTATATACAAATGTAAATAAGCCTTTTCCATATATTTACAACATTTTTTAATAAATGTTTGTTCGTCTTTTTAGCATAATAGAAATAGTGTGATCGTTTGCGGTTGCGTGCTCCGAAAGACTCTTTATTAAAACACGTCTGATTTTGTAGCGGTGAAACCTGATGGCGCTTAAATGACCAAAATTGTGTCGATAGTGCCGTAAAACATCTACCCAATCAATCAATCAATCAATCGAAGGAGAGGAAGCTCCTTTTTGCGTGGCGTGCAACACAAATCTCACAGTTCGGCACATCCTAATGGAATGTGTCGACTTTAATTGTATCCGTGAGAAATATTTTAAATGTAAAGATATTAAGACCCTTTTCGACATCACAGAGCCTAGAAGAATTTTAAATTATATCAAAGAAATTGGACTGTTTAATAGAATGTGAAAATATATAGTTGTCGTTGTCGGTGTATATATACATACGGTGTTTATATACATACACTGAAATTTGTATTGTATATACAAATGTAAATACGCCTTTTCCATATTTACAACTTTTTAAAATAAATGTTTGTTCGTCTTTTTAGCATAACAGAAATAGTGTGATCGTTTGCGGTTTCGAGCTCCGAAAGACTCTATTAAAAACACGTCTGATTTTGTTGCGGTGAAACCTGATGGCGCTTAAATGACCAAAATTGTGTCGTTAGTGCCGTAAAACATCTACCCAACCCAATCAAAAAGCATCTTTCTTCTCTTATAACTTGACTATTGCTACTCGCGCAGATTTAAGATTTCTCATGTTAAAAGACATGATTATTCGATAATTCGTAGTCAGTTTAACACAGATTTTGGAAAGATCTGTCGTACCTTTTTAAAATTAACAATCATTTATTCATAAGTTTGTAACTAAAATAGGACAAATTGGGTACTCTACAAACACTTGTCTAGACCAAAAACTAAGGGACATAAATGAACCATTCTAACGCAGAATAAATCTCAAGACATTGAGCTTTTAGTACATCCGCGTAAGGGTTTGCCGTGTGGAATGGGGAAGAAGTTAAACATAGTAAAAAATGCGAACTTGCTAACCGACACCAGCAAAGTCGCTTCAGGACTCATTAACAGCTCCGGCGGGCTTCTGAGTCACACCAACTTAAGGTAACAGAATCGGGCGAAAAGTGACGCAGTGTGTGGCATATTCTATCGTTCCAAAAGTTTCTGTCGCCATTTTTTTTTCATGAATCGACAATGAGCCTGGCGAGACCTTTTTTCATCACATCTTTGTTTACGTTACATTTACTATTTGAGCACAACCCGTCTTTGACGCCTTTGTGAAGAAGACTATCCATGGACATATTACCATTTTTAAAGCCAGATGACTTATTTTCCATGCATTAATTACTAAATCATATGCTGGTTGGAAGCCCTGTAATACCTTGTTACTTATATGCAATTAAATAAGCATAATTTAATTGAAAAATAAGCCGACATGATTTAATAATAGACACATATCCATTCTGTTACCTGAGGATGTATACAAATCTGTTTTTATTATTATATTATTATAGTAAAGGGTTTTACGGCGCTCGCAACTGCATAAGTTCATATGGGCGCCAAGGGGTGGGTGTCAGCAGTGAAGTCTTTACAGGGAATCAGACTTACTCTGCTCACCTCTCTAGCTTCAACAGCACAAGGTCTGCTTCGACTATCAAGGCACCCCGGAAATAACAGGTCACAAGAGAGTGACAAACATACAAAAGATGTAGAGGAAAATGACAATAGTAAGGATTAGGAACGAAAAAGCAGCTGTTCCCTGTTGTAGATCAGGCACAGTTATGAGCGTGACATGAATCAACCCGTTTACAATTCTACTGTGCTTGAACGAGAAATGTCCCCCCTTTGGGAATGGCCTAAAGACACTACAGTACAGTCAGTGGCACTGCCCCGGGAGGATAAATCTATTTTGCAAAGGGATTGATTTAAATATACACATTATTAATTAACCAAATTGTGACCCGTAACAGCTCATAAAGTGGGAAACTTAGTAGTGCATTACTGTGTGTGTGTCTTTTAACGCATACTATACAGACACAAAATAATACTCATTAAAAAAATTAATATGTACTTATTTTTGCGCACTGTCACCGAGATGTACCCCTGAAAAATAAAGGACCACCCTAGGAAAATTTTGAAGTTAACTTGGCAGTTGCCTGCAGATATGTCTTTGATCTAGATTTTTCTTCCCTGAGATCCTAATTTTAGAATTATTAGAGTGGCTGGTCTGTCTGTGGCACTGCTATATTTTAACATTTCTTTTGTTTTTTTGTGCGATTCCGCAGTGTCAAAGAAACAAAGATTGTGGAGTCCAGAGATAGCAAGACAAGGGAAGCCATTCGTTCCACCTTCCACAGAAAAGCCTGCATTTAACTCACTTTTGTTTGGAAGCCTTATTAATAAGGTATTGTTTGTCACAAGTTATTTAGATTCTCTAAGATGTCATGGCTGATTTTTAAATAACACATCAATGTTTTCTTTAGATATAATTATGTATGTCTTTTCGGTTTGTTATTTTGAGCTTGTGTCTCTTGGGATGAACTTGCCCTATCCAGACCGTATGCATGATGATAATGCTTAAAATGTCTGAACCTCTGATGAAGCCTAGTATGATACTTTTGTGAAAAATGTAGTCTAGGAGTTTATAACAGTGACGAGAGTGCATATTGGAAATTTAGTAAACAGGGTTCCCACTCAAGAGGGAAAACAAGACAAAGCCAGGACATTTTCTGATTTTCCCACAGAAAAAGTCAGATCCCGAGTCTGCATTACTACTTTATGTCTTTTTGTTGTCACTCAGTGTCACTTTGCCTTCAAAGCCCCCTGTGGGTTGGGAGAGTATAAATAGACCTACTGCCCCTTTTGCATGAGGTGAAACCCCTCCAATGACGAAGTGTCGCACGTGAAACCCAACCCTAAGGATCCATGTGCGACATCTACTGTGGTATATCTTTTTTCCTCCATCTCTTCATACACTGCTGACTTTTATGTGCCACAAAACTAGAGGTCATCTATCTCACAGAGTTGGTGCATCGTTGACAGTGAGGTGCGACCCGTGCGGAGGGAAACAGGGTACCTGGATGTTGAGGTGAGATCAGTCTGTGGACTGTCGCCCGCCAACACACCTCTTTGGCCCAGGTTTTACTCTGGTGGGAGGGTTGTTGCACGGCCCATACCACTCACAGATGCCAACCAGTACGATTTTACGTATTTTAGTACGATTTTTGGCCGAAAATACGCGAATACGACTTTTCATGAAAAAAATACGCATCCTCGAATGCGAAAAATACGAGATTCAGCTTGGGCGGGTAAACCTAATTATCTCAAATCCCTTCTTTTGCCAAAATAGTATCAGTATCGCAGAACTGGAGTATTTGAAAACCAAGTCTGATGTGGTCAGTAAGTGAAATTTTGCCGGTCGCGATCGTATATTCGTTCAGCTTTTCCCCGTCCGGAGAGTACGTTTCACTTTCACGCGAATAGGCAGCTATGGCGGCAGGCGGAATCTTATGTGACACCGAGGCTCGATCGGGAAAATCAAGATCTACTTTCGCTTTCGTTACCACCGAGAAGTTTGCCAGCAGTTGTCTGATAACGCAACATTTTTGGCATGCAGGTTGTGCAGTATAAACGCAATGTCGCCGTGCAAATTAAAGGAAAGAAATACTCGGACTCGTCGCTGTGCTGTCATTTGTGGGGGGAAAAAAAGAAAAGAAAATACAAGCGTCGTCTGATTTTTAGATTGTCTGGCTCGCCGTCGTGACCGGTCACAACCTGCGCGCGTTCGCATCATAAATAACGGCATCGGGTGAGCAAAGACCGTCTTTGGTGGGAGTAACGGCGCAGCGAAGTATATGACTACGGCATAGAGGAGGAGATTATTGATTTTTTTTTCGGGGGTTAAGATACTATCG